CATTGGCTCTTCCCATCAAGGATGACCACAGCCTTTGCTCGAAACAGCGAGCACTTCTTGCAAGACGTGCAGGACTCCAATTGTTGCCAAGACAAAGTATGGGCGGTTAGCATGCTGCAATACTGCTGCGCCCAACGATACGCAGCCGCCTTCTCTATTCCAAAGAACCGCTGCGCTCGCCGCCTTCGACTTGACTAAGGGCATCCTCAGTTTGCTTTGCTTGACCCCACGACACTGCTCGCGGGATGGCGTGTCCAAATCGTGCATGGCCATGCAGCCTCCGGACGGAGCCCATGGACAGAGCCCGTGTCTCACAAGGCGAAGGGGTGCCCGACGGTTCTCAGTCCGGCCGTCTGTAAGCAGGTTCGTCCTCTTAAAAAGGTGATTCAATCGGGCTTCAAGAAAACGTGGGAGCCTATATGTTGCCAAGTTCCACCCAGAAAGCTGTCTGATTGCCAGGGTGTTAGTTTTGACAGAGCAAGGGGATGGCAGCACCAAGATTGACAGGAACTAAAGAACTGAGCAGAGATGCCTGGTCCCCCGATAATTCAGGCTGTCAAAAAATCTGTCTGGAAGGTGCAGCTTCAGGAAAAATGCTGGAGAGGACGTATGCCCACTCGCCAGCATTGCTACAAGCTCCCCCGCTATCGTTACCAAGCAGTAGTCTATGTCTGACGCAGTCTGTGAAGTTCGTGTTGGAGCACTCTCGCGAAACTCCCCTGAACCGCATCCCAAAGCACCCGTGAAGCCACAGCCAAACACGCACAGCCAATCCTACACTCAGCCAACAGCTTAAGCACATTTATTATTTTAGAATAACTAACTAACTAACCAAGCAAGCAAGCAAGCAAGAAAGCAAGAATGCAAGCAATCAAGAAGCCAAGCCGAGCCAAGCCAGCAAGCAACCAACCAATCAACCAAGCAACCAACCAGCAAGAAACCAAGCAAGTTTGTTTTCTGACATGTTTCAACCTTCCGCGAACCCTTCCGCCAAGCTTCCGTGAACCATTGCTTCCGCGGACATATTTTTTTCAAACTGGTTCCGCGGACGGCTTCCGCGGGCATGTTTTGGTTGGTTTTGCTTCGACGGCAGCGCGCTTGATTTTGGGCTGTTGCTACGATGGCCGCTTTAACACATAAACCTTCTGCGAAGAATCCGCGAGGCAAACCCTTCCGCGACTGCAGTCCCACACACATCGTGCAAGAATCATGTCCACCCGCTTACTTGGTACAAAGGCGAAGCTATGATCTTCCAAAACGGGATGAGTGGTCGGGTTTGGGGTACAGCACAACCCATGTAGCGCATCTCCCAATATCGTGCTTTGGGGGCTGCAGCCTGCCAGTGCTCTTGGATTTGGTACCGGATGGATTGGGGTCCCCCGCTTGCCAGATTCTGCCGCCATGACCAGCGACTGCACCGCATGCTCGCCTGGGCGCACAGCACATGAGCGATATCAGTGGTCCATCTAGAGGAGTGCATCCGTTCAGCGAGCTGGAAGATCTTTGAGGTACAAACGCTCCTGGAAGGATAATATGCACGGAATCTGGAAGAACCATCCCCCGTGTTTGCGGTCATTTGGAGCGGCAAGAGGAATTTCAGCCATTTGGAGCGGCACCGAAGCGATTTTCCGAGAGCTGGGGTTTCCAGTGCTTCGTGCACTAGACTTGTACTACAAAAGTTGCGATTTTCCAGGAGCTGGAGCTCAACAAAGCCATACCCGGGCACCCGCACGGAGCTGATCGAGCTGCCCAGGCCGCAGTTGCAGCAAGGCGTGGGTGAGGCTCCCGCTGCGTGCGGCCTGGGGCTGAAGCGGCTGCGACGGCTGCGAGAGGTGGTTGAATGAACCCAGGTTTTGGCCCCCTAGCAAACCACCAGTGGGATGGGGTTAATCTTGGGGTCATTCCATTTCTGGTTCCTTACTGCCGCCTAGGAAACCACCTGGATGTGTTTCTTCTTGGGGTTGTTTGTTTTATTTCTATTTTTTACTGAGCAGCAGCGAGTTGGTGTAGCGGCGCTAGTCAAGCTGGCTCAATTTCCTGTCTGTGGAGCTATGTCACATTGGGCCACCCCAGTTCTGCCAAAGGTTGGGATTCCTTTTCACATTTGGGTGCTACAAGTCGACGATATGCAACAAGTGCAGTTCGAACACGACATTGGTGACAGCTAACTGTAATCATGTATGCCACCAACAGCTGACAAAAGTAAAGCCTCGGACCAAAATCAAGAGGATGTGGGGTGAAACAGCAATAAACTTGTCAAGACCATGTAGGAAGGTTGCAAGGGCGGACCCACTGACCTACTAAGTTCACACATAAGGTTCGGTCCTGTTCGCAACATCACCTTTTCGCGTCTCGAACGTTCAAGGCTGCATCGCCACTCTGTGTTTCCAATGTTGCTCGCCTGGGAAGTCTCGCAAGAACGCCCATAGCACTGGAACAAGCTGAGTTAGCTCGAGAATGCATCGCTTGCACGGGGTCTTTAAGAACGGGAGCTTTGGGCGGGTCGACCTTCCAAAGCTGGCAGGTCATTTTCACTTCGCGCGCGCAACAATCTGAGACCTTCGAGGGGTCGACATTCCAATGCTCGCGGTGTTGCGCGTTCAGCTTGCGCAAATATCAACAGGTGAGCCCTTTTCGGACTTTCGGGACGGGTCGACCTGAAGCAACGTTGTTTTGTCGCGCTTTTCATTTCGCTCGTGGAGCCCTCTGTGGACTTTCGGCGGGCGCCTCAGAAACAAAAAATGATAAGAAGCAGACAGACCTAAAACAGCGCTAGTTAAAACACATAGACGGACAGAGGTTGAATAGATAGTACAATAAAAGTAGAAACATCGATAAGCAGAGTATGGTTTCATAGGAGTTTGATTGTTCAAGCCTGCTTGTTCGAGTGAGTGGCCTTTCTTAACGTTGTTCAGAGTCTCGCTGGGAGTAAGATAGGAATGTATCCATCCAGCTAAACAGATTGCCAGAAACAAGTACGACTTCGACAGGGCATTATTGTTCAAGTCCGTGCTGGTCCCAAGACATGTCAACAACGCTCTACCTGCCTGGCCCGTCGTTGCGGTCAACCGTTCTTCTGCTAAGGAAAGCGCATTGGTCTCGAAGAGGGGTTCATCGTTCGTGTCTGCTCTCGAGCGGGCTTGCCATGTCGGGTGCGCTCTTCATTTTTGAAAGTTGCCGCTCTGACATGGCCATGCGGCGCAAAAGTCACGAGTTCATGTCTCAAATTGCTAGTGCTCACTAGGGAATTTGGAATGACCGCTTTAAACCATCCCACTGGTGGCTTCCTGTAAGGGAAGCCCTGGGCTCATTCCCACATTCCCTACTGAGCACCAGCAAGTCAAATCACATTTACTACCACACACACACAAAAACAAAACTAGCAGTGAATGGTTGCAGGTAACGATTCTATATGTGCGCGGGTGTTGTGTTGGAGCCCCTCTGGATTCGCAGCCCAGCCGTACGTCGTCGAGATGACTCCTCTGACCAAGGTTGTGAGAGTGAAAGAGGCGCTAACCTCGCCCAGCTTTCATGCACACGCGTGAGCTGTTGAGGGCCGTGTGTTCATGTCGTCGCTTGCCGGTTGGGGCCGCGCCGGCACAAACTGCAACACTGCAGCGCAGGCTGTGCTAAAATGGGACAAAGGGTGCGTGCTTGTGGACTGAGAGCAAGAGAGAGGCTGTGATAAAGAAAGCAAACAAAGGAAAAGAAAAGGATAGCGAAGAAGACAAAGATAGAGAGAGAGAGAGAACAAAAGAGAGAGAGAGAGAGAGGCAGAGAAAGATAAAGAGAGAAACAGAGAAACAGAGAAACAGAGAAAGAGAAACGCGAGAGAGAGAGCGAGAGAGAGAGAGAGAGAGCGAGACACAAGATAGAAGAGAAAGGGAAAAAAGAGAACGATAAAGACAAAGAAAAAGGACAAACCAAAAAGAGAACAAGAGAAGGGCGAGCTCCAAACTATAGTGTTTGCATCTTCGAACTTCCCGGCTCTGCCGGTCTTTTCCGGTACTCGTCGATTTGCGGTTAGGAAAGGGCAACTATCAGAATGTTGAATGCATGGAAGGAAGGCTATTCAAATTACGAGTTGCAATTGTTAACCTCCCACAAGAGACGAGTAGTTATTCAAGCTTGATCATTCGCTCCAATCAAATGATCAACTCGTCATGTTTCTGCAAGAACACATGTATCGCATGACTGAGGCTCATCACCAGCACCTCGGTCATCTTTGCCGGCCAACCCCCAAGAACTTACTTGCATTGCGTATCCACAAACATGGCGCCCCTGCCAAACAAAACAGGGTTATTGTAATTACTGCCAGTGCACAAGTCCGCGGATTTAAAACCCCCCTGCAGCTCCGAGAAACCTGCCAGAAACGGGGCTGTCCATCTTGCTTAGTATTTGCAGAGTCTGCGCTTGAACCCCTCAATACTAAGCCACAATGTAAACCCCTCAAGATTTCCCCAAACACGTGCTTCCCCCAGAATGCATCGTTCTTACTAAAATTCCTTTAAAATGACCTCACACAGGGGACCCCCCTTGGAGGCCACTCCCCCCTCATCAACAGAACACCCCCGCGATTAATGTTGGGCTCAAAACAAACAACTGCGTGCCACTTAAAGTCCTGTTGCCCGGAAGGGGCCAAGACGGCAAAGACCAAAGAGAATCTTCAGGTTCCTGCTTCCACTTTAATTGGCTGGAAAAGGGGCCGAAAATCCTCCAAATAGTTTCAGTTTGGGGGGGCTTGTCCAAACCTTGTTGACTTTGTGAAGGGGAGGGTCCTTTACTAATTCCGGAGTGACCATTGTCTCCCATTTGCTTAAGCCCCCTGGAAAACACATACCTAACAATATACATATTTCCGCTAGTGAAAATCAACAATGGGATAACACATATCCGTTTCAGCAAATGGAAGTTATTGTCTTCACAACCCTTGGTATGGCAGAACACCTTCTCTTTTGTGCAGCCCCCCGCTAAATGAGACCAGACCCCAAAAACAAAAACAACAACCAACCGAAAAATGAACAGAACCCCAAAGCCAGAAAAACAACCACCAAACAACTTGATCCAAGAACCGTGACTTCCATTTGCTTGAGCCCCCTGCAAAAAACATGTTCAGTAGTGATAGAGTCTCTTCAAAGCCAAGGGAAAATCAAACATATTCCGCAAATGGGTAGTGAAGCTCTCCCATTTTCCTGCCGCCATCTTTGCGTCGTCCGACCGTCGAACGCATCGACCCACGACTCGGCCTCGATGACCTCCTGCTGGGCCTTCTGCGCCGCGTGGCGCTCCAGCAGCTGCCACAGCTCCCCCGAGGCCGCCCCCGCCTGCAGCGCCTGGCTCGAAGGCGAGTGAGTGGGAGGCCGCAAAACGAAGACGAGCCTCGGCAAAACGGTTTGGAACTTGTGGCTAGCTTGCTGGAAGACCACCCCTCCGAGAAAAAACAAAAATAAAGTGACTAATTTATCTGTGGGTCGATAATCAATGGACAATCGCACAAATTTTCAACCGAAAAGTGGTCTAGTGAATGACTTCTGGGTCCAAATTCGAGTTCCAACCAAAAAGTGTAATCCAAAGATCTGTTACCAAATAGCCATGAAGTTTAGGCAAGTAGAGTTCAGATGGAGTCCGGTCGTTTGTTTCTTTGATCTTGAAGGTATGGCATACTGGGATTTGCGCCTGGTTTCGACTTGCCGAGGCCTCACTGAGGTTCGACATGGGTCTGAGGCTAAGAAAATGGCACAGCTGAACACGAGCTTCTGCACCCAGCAAATTTTCCCCCCAAAAAAGTTGCGTTTGGTCTGGAAGAATTGCTGGCTGCTTGGTGACAATCTGTTCTGTGAGACAGACTTACCGCCTAGCAACTTCTTCCAGCCAGTGGGGAGCCATGTGGAACATGTGGAACAGCAAAGTCATTGAGTCGGAAGCAATGAGACGCCAGCCACCAAAGATGAAACGACGTTGGTGAGACATCGATTTGAGGAAAGATGCATACAACGCGCTGGAGCTGACCCAGAATGGGGATGTCTGTTCAACCGAAAAACGCTTCTGCCCACCGGCATAACGAGCATGCCAGTGACTAGCACCGGCAAAGTCCTACAGGCCAACGAGACCACGGATGGCAAGGTTCAGAGAGCTATCCAGTACAAGCCATCCGCATCGAGTTTGAAGCTGCGTAGCTAAAAGGAAGTCAATCAACAAATGCGAAGGAGAAATCCGGCACTTCAAGCATCTTTGTTTGGCTGAAAACCACTCTATGCTCAAGCAAAAACCCAATCTGACGCATTCAGGCTAGCCTCGTTTGGACCTGGATGACGACATTTACCAAAGCCACCAAGAATATAAATGTGCCAAATGTGTCTATCAAAGCACATTGTATCCATTGAAGGAAAAGGTCTCGGCTGGCATCTTGACATCCGCTGGAAGAGGAAATCAGATGTAAAACCCCCACTCGCAGAACAACTTGGAGAATCCCCCCCCGCAAACCCAGTTTAAAGAGTCTCACACACACAAGCACGCACGACGCACTTCTAGTCCCATCTCCCCTCCTCCTGGGCTTTCATCCGCAAACTCTCGAGCTGCTCTGGTAGCACCTCCTTGCACGGCGCTTTCTCCGCGTGGGGTCAAACCTCCTATTGGGGTCCTGCACCCGCTGTGTTCTTTTTCCTGGTATTTGTAGGGTTTGATCCATCTCGAAAGGTGCAATATGTTGGCATCCACAGCAGTGGTGGATTCCTGAAAAGAAGCCTTTCAATGGCTGTTGCTGGATGACTATCCGCATTCACCCCAACTGAACTGCTGGTGGCCAAACTTCATGCCAGCAGGCACGCGATGTTTAAGCTGTGTGATCTGAAGAAATACAACCTTCGAACCTGTTCCTGCAATGATACACATGTGGTTGGCAACTAATTATACTACCAGGAACATGCAAGCAAACACGCAATCGAGCAATCAAGGACAAGCAAGCAATCAAAGACGTTAACAACGCAAGAAATAAACAAAACCACATGAAACCACATATAAACAAATAAACAAAATCTGCAGACTCTCTCCGGAAAGGGGAGGGGCACGGGAAGGCTGGCAACATGTCATCTTTCTACTAATCAATACATCATCAGTCATCATTCTGGTCAGTTCAAGTCATCGTTTTACTGATCGGCGATGTTGCTGTGTGGTGACTTTGTTCCACCCTGGTCCGTCCGGAACCTGTGGTGGTGGTGATGCTGAGGGTGCTGCTGTGGTGATGCTGATGTTGCTCCTCTGCTTTATGTATTGTATAGGATTCAAAAGTGACGTTCGCCCCTCATGCGTTTCCGCTATTTCTTGCTTCCATCACCCCTTGTTTTAGTAAATAAACCATGCTAAAAAAGCCCTTGTGGTGATGCTGGCAATGCGGATGGATGACATGCTTTTGCGCGCTTTCGTCCCAGACACTGATGATACTATTGGTGTTTGGGCATAAAGCCGACAAAGAAGGCACAATCTTGGCGGCATTTTCGTTGCAGCTCGCAAGGGGTGTCCCCAAATGGCTAGGCTCTCTAAGAAGTGCACCCGTCGCGACGCGAGGCCCGGGAGTCAAAACGTTGTGTACAAGTGCACATGTTGTGTTGGTGTTTGACTGAAAGGTGAAACTGAATAAATATCTTGGCAGGTTCATTGTGTTAGTTAGTTTGCTTGTTTGTTTGTTAATTTGGAGCGATGGGTGATATTCGCAGGTGGGGTCAGGGTTTCCATTTGGGGGTAAGTCAACCTCCGGGTCATGGAATTCCACGCTTGTATCAACCTGCATCTTTGGTTTTGTGTTGGATTCCATTTGTTCTTTTCCTTGACTGGAATACTTTGTATATGGAGTCCGCCCTGATACAGCAGGAACTGCGGGCGTTGGATGTTGTGAGAAACCATCAGGGGTCGGTGGCACAGGGCGGCAGCCCTTAGATAAACAGTGATAAACAACCGAACAAACACACGAAACAAAATACCAAAAAACAAACAAGCAAAACTACAAACACAACAACACAAACAAAAAACAGCAGACTAAGAAACAAACAACCAAAATAACAACACAAACTCACAAAACAAACTCACAACACAAGCTTCCAAAACAAGAACCTAACGCACCGGCCAACTAAGAAAAACTTGCAAACAAACGAATCAAATACACAAGCAAACAAACAAACGTGGTCTTTACAACTTCCCAAGCCCGGAACCTGCTCTGCAACAGGAGCCGGCGGCTCCGCTGGCTCTGTCGAGTTTGGTTCGTCAGCTTCTGGCTCCTGTCAGACGTTGAAAACGGCAGCCCCAACAAAGGACAAGGGACACTCACTCACCGGCTGAACAACCTTTTTTCACCCAAATCTGCTTTCTCCAACGAAGAACGCCTACGACAACATGGGCACACAGAGAGTTTGCGAAACATTCCAAATGTGGCCGGTTGACATTTCTCCATCGATAATCAAATGAATGCTGCAAACAAAATGGCGGCAGCTATCCATCAGTTGCAGCGGCTTGTGATTGAATTCGAAACGTGGGCAAGTGCCTCGAGATGTTGCTGAAGCAGTGGTGCAGCTGGCAAGTTTTGTTTTACCAGGCAAGTACTTGTGATGAATTACAACGACATGCAAACAAGAACCCGACTGATTGACATGAGTGTGCCATTTGTTTGTTCAACAGGGGGGTTCACTTTCGCTTAGGTGCCATGAAACACTGGCCAGAAAATGATGTTTTGACACATGAGACGAAGGGGGGGCATCAAATTGGATAGTGAGGGCAAGACAGCTCAATTAACCATGCAGCATGCCAAGTTTCTTAATTGTTTGATTTGTGTGACTGGCAGCTTTGGCAGCACAACTAACGTGGGTTTCAACGTATGACCGCAATATCCACAGCACACAACGCGTTGTCATCAATCGAGTCAACCAAGCAGTCTCCGTGGTTTCCAGCTTTGGCAGCAGCGGCGCTTGCGGAGAGCTTGGCACCTGCTATCGAGGCATCAGTCAAGCAATGAGTCTGCTCGGCTATTAAGGAAGCGGGAAATCCTGGATTTGGGGTTGGTTGGTGTGCTGGTTGGGTTGGGCGGGGGTGGGTTGAGTTGGGTTGGGTTGGACTGGTTTTGGGAAGTGTGTGGGTGGTTGCTGGCTGGTTTATGGGTTACCCGTGCCGCCATGGTGTTTGGTGGCTGGTTGCGCATATTGCTCGGAAGGACGTTGCAACACATCATGACATCTGCAAGAAACCCTTGGTGTGGAACCGAAAAACCATAGGCACAGCGAGCCACCTCACCAAGCGACCTGCATCGTGTCCCTCAAACATTCACTTCTGGGCAAGACTGTCACGTTCACACTCCCAGTAAAGCATGTCATCGGCAGTGCTGAAAAAATAGCTCATGCGCGCAAATGTGCAAATGGATTGGGGGCAAAGTGCATTTGATGCAAGCATGAAGGACATCTTGGCGGCTTCCATCTGACAATGGTCGGTCTATGTGCCTTGCTTGTGAAGCTCGACGGCTTTCCCCGGAAGGTCGGTGACCAACATGATTCGGAACCGATAGTGAGGTAGCCTCATTCCCGCACCGCGGTCCAGGAGGCTGTGAGATATGTATATATATATATATACATAATCAACATAATCAGCTGAAAATGCTGAATAGACAAGCACAGCCACCATGTGGGGTCGGGGGGGGGGGGACTGACACTTCTCCACCAAAAGGTCAAGTCTTTGAACCTTGACACTGAATTGAACCAACACACACCACGACCTCAACAATTGGGAACATCATGGGAACCTGACCACTAAAGTGGCTCCGTTACGCCTTCCAAATTGCACGGGCCACAGGGTAGGCCTCGGCCACCTGAGCCTTGGCCAGCTGTGTGTCCTCGTGGGAAGCGGCGCTCATGGCCTCGGCAGCGCCCAGCCCAACTCGACTCGCGTTTCTTCCATCCGGCTGCCCTCTTAAACGTTCTCGTGGCATTGCCAGTGGCGCTCCAAAACCCGTTTTGCCTGACAAGATTTCTTCGCTAAGCTCGTGGGACTTAGTTTCGGTGCTGCTGCTGACGTTCTTTGCTTGAACGTCTGAGTCAAGAAGCTGGGAAGGCTCTCCCAGCTTGCTTGCACATCAGGCCTTGGCCTCTTTCTTGCTTGAAGCAGTCTGCATATTCCTGTAACAACAGCAGAGCTTTGAAGGTCCTCTCTCGCAAGCTAGAACGATGCACATATTTGACTCTCACTCTCTCTCTCTCTCTCTATACATATATATCAATATGTTCCCAGTCCCCGGTTCGCTCGCCCCCCCCCCAACATCCCTGCGCCTGGCATCCCCGGTCTTGGAGCCTAAACTCCCTCTAAACCAACCAACCCTCAAACAACCCTCAACAAACCCTTAACCAACCCCGAGCCAACCCTGAGGGGGAGGGGGACCTGGAACAGGTCTATATGTATATATATATATATATATGGCATTGTGTGTGTGTAACGGTAACCTGTGGTGCGGCAGTGATGTGCTATTTAATATGTGCACATACAGATATGCATATGTATATATATATATAATTGATATACACAAACGTAGTTATATACACATACATATATTGCCCCCGTGGACCCAGGTCTTGGTGCGTGCTTCGGTCAGTTTCACTGCAAACACCCCAGACTTTTAAGATCTCTTTGAACTAAAGTATAATGTAAATTGCAACTGCGCAATGACATGAAACAGTCCTATAATTGATTTGCATTTCAATTGCAAGTATGCGTCGGCCCGCGGGAGCACGTGCGGGTGACTGCGCACGCGCCGAAGCGACAAGCTGGCTGCAAAGTTTGCATGTGTTGGTGTGTGTGTGTGTGTGTGTCTTTTTTCATGACTTGCGCATGTCAAGTTCAGAATATTCTGTCCATCACTGCCTGCCCCTGAAATCAAAACAATGGGCATAGATGTCAAGGGGAGCATTCATGGAACCCAGATCTCCATCCAAAGTCCCCCAGCGATCTTGGATCTTTGATCTTGCCCATTTTTGTCATAAAACATCCCACAATCCAGAAAATGTGGCTAACACGCAGAGAACTGGGGGCTCCGGGGCTCCGGGAGCAGGGGGCTTGCCATAATATATGTGTAATAAATATATATATATATATACTGTATATATGGACCTTCCCCAATTCTTCCACAAACTCTATAATGTCAAAAAAAAAACTGGAAGGCTCCTGCACCTCCTCAGTGCTGATTCTGTGGCCCCAAGAAAAAGCTACTCAATGCAAATTTCCGCAAGACTGCTAAATATTCCTTGTTAACAACTGCAAAACTTGGAGATAATTGCAGCGCAGTCACAAACAACTTCAGAGAGTTCGAATTCGCGTGCGCGAATTAGACCGAGCGCCCTATCAGACCGTGTCAACCCGCCCAAAGAACAGTGAGTGCCTCTAGTGTCCTTCTGTTTCGTCTGAATACTCGTCCTCCCGGGCCGGGGGGGGCCGGGGGCGGAAATTGCTGAACTTCAACGGTCAGCACGCGGCGAGAGCTCTAGCATCTGAGCCACGCACATCCGAGTTCCGCCGCGCCTCACAACTTAAGGCTTTCACATTGACGTGGAGGCCAGTCTGAGTCTGTGAGGTTACCAACAGACGCCCAACTTGCACTCCTGGCATCCACTCCAAGGTTGTCTAACTCCCTTAGTAGCAGTATGTCATCTAACTTCGAGGTCCGGTGTCCTTTAAAAACCAAGGGCTTGCGGTGCTGTTCTAACTGGCGCCTGCTTCAAAGGGTTGCCAATACCTTGACGACCAAAACCTGAAAGCCACCCGATCACACCATCTGTTGTGTAAGTTTCACACATGAGTGAGTCAATAAGTGTTCTTTATCCCAGACGTGCGCAATATAACTATGGCAACGGCTGATGGTAGCCAATAGCAGCTCAAGGAATCAGACATGTCAATCTTCTGATCCCTCGCGTGCAGAAGATGAACTTGCCAAGACTATCCACGTGGGCTGAATTCCTCTCTGACCCCCTTGGCAGGGCCCGGCATGCCTGAGGATTGATGGATCTCATATGATCTCATGCAACTATCATCGGGTTCTGGGAATACGACGAAGGGGGCCAGCTAATGCGGATGCCTCCTCTGCTTCAGGCTCTTCCAGCACTGGCACTGGAACCTGCCAGCGCCGGATGAAGACGCTGAGGCTTCAAGAAGCAATAGGGTCTACCGATCTTGAAGAATCCTCCAGCCTTGAGGGTCTACTGTTGGCCCTGGTCACTTCGCCCAAGCTTTGGCCACAAACTGCCCACACACCCTATGATTGCATTCAGCCTCCGCCTTGTATTTACAAGGGAGCAGGGATATGCAAGGGTATATTCCTGTCTCTGAGCATTCTCGATGCCAGAAGCGCCTCCATTCGAGAAAAACAAAAGACAGCAGCAGCAGCAGCAGCAGCAGCAGCAGCAGCAGCAGCAGCAGCAGCAACAGCAGCAGCAGCAACGATGCGAGCAACCACTGGACCAAAAGCTCCAAGCAACACACATCAAATGACAAACCCTTGATGCACAAACAAGCAAGAGAGCAAGGAATAGACAGCAAAGTGCCATCAAGTGGAATCCTGACAAAACAACGAGTTGACTGGCGCGCGCGTGTGGGTGTCTCTGTGGATGGGTGGGTGGGCAGGTGGGTGGGCAGGTGGGCGGGCGCCGGGTGGCGGGCGGCTGGGTGGGCGAGCGGCTGGGCGCCTGGGCCGGAGCCGTTCAAAAGCAGCTCTCTACCCGAAGCTTTGAAATTTCCACTCGGACACTTGATCTGGGATGTGATCCGCAGCCTTGGCCAGATCTGCTCCCGCAGTAGACTCGGTGTCTGCGGCCTGCAGAAATGCGAAGCGCAACTGGCGATGTAGTCCCAAGGAAGGCCCGATTGTCACACTCATAGAAGGCGTTGGGAACGGTTTCAATTTCATATACCTCCGGGACACAGATGGTGGCCTGGCAGCCTAGATTAGAACCAAAAAACTAGTGGTTATTTTTGAGCTCTGGAGAGGGTCATGATGAACCAGAGGGTTATGATGAACCGGTTGCTTGTCAAACCTAGGCTTTTTCACCAACACGTAGTAACAGATTTGGTGGCTCTGGATAGCTGACATTTTAGAGGTCTGTTATGGCAATTCTTGAACTAGCAATTGGACCACGTGTTTAGCATTTTTCAAAGTGAGGTTTTTTTGCCGGAGGAAGGTTAAATCCCACCTTGTCAGGAAAAAACATAGTCTTGGTGCGAAGATTCAGCAGGGAGCGGATTTGCATGAATCAAGTGAATGATTGCTAGCAACCTTCGTCCAGAGGCAAGCGGGAACTGTGACATCTTTGCAACACAATGTTCTCAGGCTGAGGGCCTTCATCACATTGCATGACAACACCACGCAACCAGCCAACAAGTTAGCAAGCCAACAAGCAAACCATCCAACAAACCAACCGGCCAAAAAAGTAAGAAGGTGATCAGCTAATCAGCCAACAAGACAACAGGCCAACAAGCCAACCAGTCAACAAGCCAACCAGAAAATCAACAAACAAGCCAACAAGCTAACAAAGCAACCAGCCAGGATCTAACCAGCCAACCAGGATACCAGCAAACCAGACAACCTGCCAACCATTCAAAATATTCAACAAGCCAACAAAATAACCAAAGAAGTGGGCAATGAGCCAACAAACCATCCAGCCAACACGTCAGCCAGGAAACCAACAAACAACCTGCCAACCATTCAACCAGCTAACAAGCCAACAAGCAACCAGCCAACCTGCCAACATTCCAACCATGAAGCAACAACAAGCCAACAAGCCAACAAGCCAACAAGCCAACCTGCCAACCAGCCAACCAGCCAACCAGCCAAGCCAAGGAGCCAACCAGGCAGCAAGCTAGCAAGCCAGCAAGACAGCAAGCCAACCAGCCATCCAGCCACTCAAACTGCAAACAATCAGCCAACCAGCCAACTTGCCAACCTGCACCAACACTTTTGCAGTCACCATCCGCGAATGTGCCCATGATCATCCCTTCCCACTGCCATTGCACCCACGCCAATCACCAGTCCCTGGCCTCCAAGACCGAGCGGGAAGCCTTGAAGGCCTCGACCTCGGCGTACGAATCCACTGCCCTGTGAAGTACTGACCGTGCTACTGGGCCCTCAGATCCCCCGCTACAAGTGACTAACTTTTGGTGGGTTAAATGGACACTACCACTAAACACTAAAAGGCTAAAAAGCTAAGGGAATGGCTGGGAGCCACCAAGGCTGCAGAAACCTGCCAAAGCTGCACACCCTTTTCGCCGGCAAGCGGGATCGTAGCATTACCCTTGCAGCTGACTCCCAGGTCTGTAACTTCACCAAGGCAATCAATGTGGCTTCGATGAGACAGTCAACTAAAGAAGCTTAATCAAAAACGACATGGATTGGAAGGCATCAGGCAATGATCTTGGCGAATTCATTCGGAGCCTCACATGGGTCGCGCGGCCTCATGTCAGACAATAGAAGCCCAAGCAGTCTGCTGCCCTTAAAAGGCGTGCGACCGTGGGCCACACGCAGATTGTCCACCACGCAGACCTTGACCGGAGCATAGCTCAATAAAAAAGAGAAGACAACAGAAACCCTGTTTATCCCACCCCAAATTACAAGGAGCTAACAGGAACCAGGCTGCGACTGTGCCCTGGGCCCAAGATCGGCACTGAATTTGAAGGCAACGGTCAGTGTGCACTTTTTGTGGCAACAAGTTGGACCCTAATACGACCCCAACAAATAGATTTGAAACCCTCAGACCCTCAACGATGAAATGCAAACCATCCTTGCTAATCAACACGGCCTAATTACACTCACACAATTCACAGGGAGCAAGCGCTCACGCCAAACCAGGCATGCGCTTTCCAGGGTTCCTGGCCAAGACACACGAAACAAACACACAAACAAACAAAAACACACAGACAGACAGACAGACAGACAGACAGACAGACAGACAGACAGACAGACAGACAGACAGACAGACAGACAGACAGACAGACAGACAGACAGACAGACAGACAGACAGACAGACAGACAGACAGACAGACAGACAGACAGACAGACAGACAGACAGACAGACAGACAAAAACAAACAAACAAACAAACAAACAAAACAAACAAACAAACACACAAACAAACAAACAAACACACAAACAAACAAACAAACAAACAAACAAACAAACAAACAAACAAACAAACAAACAAACAAACAAACAAACAAACAAACAAACAAACAAACAAGCAAACAAACAAACAAACACACAAACACTCAATCAAACAAACAAACACACAAAGAAACACAAACACACAAACAGACAATCACACAAACACACAACCACACAAACACACAAACACACAAACAAACACACAAACAGACAATCACACAACCACACAAACACACAAATATACACACAGACACAGACACAGACACAGACACAGACACAGACAGAGGCAGAGACAGAGACAGAGACAGAGACAGAGACAGAGACAGAGACACAGACACAGACACAGGACACAGACACAGACAGAGACAGAGACAGAGACAGAGACAGAGACAGAGACAGAGGCAGACACAAACACAGACACAGACACAGACACAGAAACAGGCAGGCAGGCCGGCAGGCAGGCACGCAGGCACGCGCTGACGCACGCACGCACGCACGCACGTACGCACGCACCCTTCGCACAGGCACAGGCACAACACACAACAAACACACGCACTCAACACGGAGACACACACACACACACACACACCCACCCACCCACCCACCCACACACACACACACGCACGCACGCACGAACGCACGCATGCACCCACGCACGCACGCACATAGACACACACGGCACACTGACCTCACAGATACAAACACGCGAGGAGACACATCAAGACACGCGCATGTAACAGGAAACGCAATTGTCGCAGGAACAGACCGGCCGACCAACCGACTGACCGACTGGCAGACCGTGACAGGACAGGCGGGCCAGCAGGTCTGCCGTCCAAACCGGTGAGCCGATTAGATAGCTAGACAGCAAACCAGGCTGCGAGACTGAAACAAACAAATGCCGGAAAATACAGACAGTCCTGGGCAAAACTATTAAACAAAACAGACAAACACAAGCAAGGACGGACGACACAGGAATGGCAAACATGACGGGCGAAACAGATGCGGCAAATGAAACAAACACAACGGCCAGGCAGGACGGACAAGGCAAGACGAAAAAGACAGATCGGCTTGAAGCGACAAACAAGCCAGACGAAGCGAACAAGATAGACAAGGCAGTCGAGGCAGACAAAACCGTCAAGACACACAAGATGATGATCAAGATCAGTGAGCAGCAACAGGGCGAATTGGAATGAACACATCTCATAGCCTCAAACATCCCGAGATGAGCAAAATGAGTCCTGCACCTTGCCAACTGGCCATTTCCGCGTTGAGTTTCTAAGCAAAGCTTAGGTGCAACAACTGCAGCAGTGGGTTTTGTGACGCGGCAGGCTTGTCAGTCCCTAAGCGAGCAAGCAGGCCAGAAAGCAAGCAGGCAGGCATTTACAAGCCCAAGAAATAAGAAACAAATCAACCCACCAAAAAACGAAACCAATCAAACTAGACCAACCAAAATAACCAAACCAAACCAACCAACAAATCAACACAACCAAAGACCAAATCAATCAAATTGAATCCATCTGCCAAGCAATCAACCAAGCAAGCCACCAAGCCACCAAGCCACCAAGCAACCAAGCAACCAAGCAACCAAGCAACCAAGCAACCAACCCAACCAACCAAGCAAGCAAGCAAGCAAGCAAGCAAGCAAGCAAGCAAGCAACACAGCAAGCAAGCAAGCAAGCAAGCAAGCAACACAGCAAGCAAGCAACACAGCAAGCAAGCAACACAGCAAGCAAGCAACACAGCAACTAAGCGCCTCCTAACCAAACTAACCAACTTACAGTTACACAAACGCAAACAAAAAACAAACAACAGCTGAAGCCAAAAAACTACGTTTTTCGCAGAACCAAATCTTCCTGAAACCAAGGAGCGTCCCCAGGATCGAGGCGAACAAACTCTGTGCTCTCCTCGTGAGCCTTGCGGATCTGCGAGATCTCGTCCACGGAAAACTCGGCACCATCACCCCAGGTGCATTGGTATGGGCGATCCTGCAGGGAATGGGCCCACAGCCAAACCTAGAATTTGCGAGCCGCACTGCAAAACATGGGTGTTGGCTTCCTGATTCTTGTCGAGTTAGGTCGTTCCGAAACTATGCACCTATATGTTGCAAAGTGCCGCCTTTTGGGGAGGGACCAGCTACATGAAACGTGCGAATCAAGACAGTGTCCAGTGCTAAACCATTTGTGCTGAAGTCTGCATCCCGATGATAAGCCACAGATTGGTTGACTGGGGGTGTCGCCTTCTTTTTGCGGGGAACTATTCCCTCTGAAACACACCCTGGTGGAGACTATCAAATTCGGGCTACCATGAAACACCACCTGCAATAAATGGCACGGCCTGCACCAAACAGCTTGACTTGGGCTCCTTGGTAGGAAGAGGGCCATAATTGGGATGACGATCCAGCCAGGAGTGATACATATTCAGCAAGGAGCTCACAAATAGCTCACCGTGAACGGGGTGATTCTGGAAGACAGGGCACCACCACGATTGCTTGAGCCGCCTATCATCAAGCTTCTTCATGACTGAGAAGTTTGCCGGGTTGTTGCCCTTTTGCATCGCCTCTTCCAGAGAGCTTGTTTGGAAAACGCCTTGCCAGGAGTTGCAAAAGTCCGGGGCGTTCTTCTCAGACTCATCGTGGAGGATTCGAATGTACTGCACCCCCAACGTGCGGAACTTCTTCAGCAAGGCTGGTGGAAACTTCTGCTGCACCGCTATGCTGTCCGCCAGCGTGGTAGTCCCTGAGCAAACCCCTTCCAACACCAGCTTATTATTTTATTGAAGTGCCAGGGCCGAAGTGAGGCTTTATCTGCATGGCCTACAGTGCTCTCCAGAAAGCAAAACCGTGCTAAAGCCAGATGGCGAAGCTTTGCATCTTAGCCTTGCATACAAAACACTCGCTTAGGAAGGTCATGCGGGTCAAGAATCCATGACCCAAAAGCACGGCAATTTGATTGGGTTCTCATAAACGTGAAACTTCCAAACACATGCCACGCAAAGAATTGGTTTCCCATACTTACAGCCCTCAATCAAATGCCATCAATGACTGACTCCTTTTGCTAAATGCAAACGGAAAGTCCACCCTCTGCCGCTTGCTGAACCATGGCAAACGTTACATAGTTGGGGAACTCCGCTGCGTAGGCCATCTCATGATGAAACCTCAGATAGCAGTGTCCCATGCCATCCGTCCAAGCTGTGCCGCCTTGTCCTTAGACTCGGGTGGAGATGCAATTGGGGAATACAGCTGCGTGCTTTGCAGCCCCCAACAAGTGGTTTTCCTTGTGGCTTCCACAGAAACCTACCCAAAAAGGGGCCAAACCCAGAATATGTTTTGCTTTATGTTATTTGTTGCTTTTCTCGGCGCCATGACCTGTGCCACGACGTCAACACGTTACACCGGCACCAGCGTCGCTTTCAAGACTCTGGCGCCAGCGGTTTAGAGCGGGCTTAAGCTTGGCTGATGCATTTGGGTGGCTTTAGGGTTTGAGTTATTTCTGCTTTAGGACTTATTTTACGTTGGCTTAGGGTTGACGTGGGTTGAAGTGTGGTTTTGGGTTGGTTCAGCGTGTGTTTCGGGTGGATTTCGGATTTGGGGCCCAGTGGCCACCCAAAGAACGATGGTCCAGCCCCGAGCACCGTGATCGAACCCTGGCCCTTCACTTCCGTAAACGCCGTGCAGACTCAATGTGGAAATGGATGTCCCTCCTTATGTTTCCCTCCCAGAAATGGGCCCGTGCGGAACCCTTACTTTGGAGGACGACGACGTCCATCCTGTTGGAAAGCGGGCCTTGAACAACAATGCAACAATAAGTGAAGGAAGGCCGCACTTATGTTCTGGCAAAAACGACATTCTATAGTGTACAGGATGCGCACACTCCCCAAACTTCGGGATGTGCACTTTCACAGTATCACAATCAATGGCATTCAAACACCGCCATTGTTAACATGCACGAACACACACACACACACCGAAGGAAGAAACAAAAGGAAGAAAGAGAAAGGCAAGAAAGGGAAAGGGAAGAAAGGGAAAGGGAAAGGCATAAAGAGAAGGAGAGAGAAATAAAAGAGAGAGAGAGAGTGAGCAAGAGAGAGAGAGAAAGAAAGAAAGAAAGAAAGAAAGAAAGAAAGAAAGAAAGAAAGAAAGAAAGAAAGAAAGAAAGAAAACACAACAGACAAAAATAACGTAACAAACAATAAAGCCAGAAAGAAGGAACAAAGAAAGAAATAAAGGGAAGACAAAAACCACAGACACACCACCAGAACAACACAATTTGGGCAAGCGAATGAGCGGGGTGGCGAGGAGAAGCGGGTTGTGGGGTGGAATCCTGACAGTAGACGCCGGTTGCTGGACAACAGATAGTTTCCACTAGTTTTCCCGCCTTAACTATGTGTGTTGGCGGTGAACATAATATTGGAATGTTTGGCATGCAACAGCTTTGTTTCAGCAAACCCTTTCTTTGGCCATTGTCAGCTGACTTTTAGCAATTTTCGCAATGTTCAGCTCCGAGCAAAAGCATGCGGAAGCGGGTTACGGGGAGCTCCTTAAGCGCGCTTGGAAGCTGAAATATGGCTCTAGAGCACGTGCCACCTGATCTTCCGCACACTTAGCCTTTAAGCGGGTTGCAAGGATATTGGAGCCTCTACATCTAAGTGGGTGCCGGGTTGAGTCAACATGTTAGTGGGTTCTGCTCCTGAAAAATGAGCGAAACATGAGGCAGCAAACATTTGCAAGAAGAGGGGGCGGTCAATCATGCGCCGTCCGGATTGCAGCATAACGGGGCGGTGCGTGCATCCGCAAGGGCATTCTTGCACCACTCTTTCTTGCGCAAATCGCAGCTGGATTGGACTCAGACCGCTCCCGGATCGCGCCAAAATGCCAAAATGCAGCTAGATGATAGCTTGTATAGGGCAGGATCGCAGCGGGATCGCGGCCGGAGCCCACTATTCCTGCTAGAATCAATCCAAGAACCGGCTTCTAACCTGCTGATTGGGTTCTCCGATAATGTAATGCCCATGATACCTGCTTGTTCCATCGCCTTGCAAACTAATATGCGGCCTCACACTCGCAGTCGCCATATTGCACTTTCCTGCTCAGCCATATGGGTTCGACCATGAGTGGCCCAAGATTTTCTTGAAGTCTGTTTGCTGGGGACCGGAGGCTTTGGGACCGAGGTCCCATCTTCCTCGGCTATCCAAAGAAACCTTTGGAGTCCCACAGATCTTTGGTGCGGTTATGCCTGGCGCTCCTTGTGTGATGCTTTGACTCGCAGGATCCAGCCTGTATGAAGCCTGGCTGCTGGCTATGCCCTTTTGTGCATGATAGGCTTTTCTGTCTTTGCCAGTGGTTGTCATTCTTTTGTCCAAGCCTTAGTTTGCTTTGCCGCAAGAAAAACATACAGCGAACACATTACCGACTTGACAAAGGAGTCAGTGTGTTGTGCGCCGTGAAAACGATACAAACCTTTATTAAGTGCACTTCTTGTGCGCGTAACATGTCGTAGATAAACAGGAACACCCGCATGTCCAATGGAAAAACTCTGATTCTAATGCAGGCAGCCGTAGCAACAGCATCTTCCCAGGTGGGGGGATAGTATACTATAAGCCAGCAAGCCAACAATCCAACGATAAATGCTAATGCGCAAGTCAACAAGGAAAGCCAAACAGTTCACCGGCATACAAGAATGATCAACGAAAGCACAACGCATCCAAACTACACACCAAGTTTAAATGGGTCCGCCTCCTTGAACCTCGAGATCTTACACAACGTCACTCCGGTCCAAAGAGGGCCGAAACAAAAATCCGACCACACGCCAGGCATTCGTGCCGGCCGCTGGATCGTCAGCTCCGCGGGCGCCCCCGCCGCCACGTCCGTGAAGAGGGACTTGTCGATACCCTGGCGCTCCACCATGCCGGTGCCGTTGTAGCTGCCCAGGCGCTCCGGGTCTGTCCTTTCGCTTTTGGGCTGGCGCATCGGTTTCCGCCACTGGCGCGAAAAATGGCTCTGTTTACTCTGTTTTCCTCTAGGTGTGGCGCAATGCTCCGCTTTCTTGGGTTCTTTGTTGGACATTTTGTTTGACCTGCTGGCCGATTGTAGGATGTTCTATTGAGCTGCCGTGTTGGTATCTTGGCTGATGTGTCCATCCTTGTTTAGCGAATAGCCAGGGCACTTCTTCGGCCTCCTGGCCATGAACTAATTTTAGCCAAGACGGGAAAGCTGTTGTGGGTGAATATGTCCCTAACCGGTCCAACGAGTGTAGTGAGAATAAGCATTCCTAAATACCAACACAGCCCCTTTTTAAATCGTCAGGTCCTGCAACAAGTCACCAGCCCAATCGTTGCGCCCAAGGTTCGCGGGCAGCTACGATTTCTGTGTGGTGCTCTATTATGGCAGTTGGCTACGAAACGGTTCTCAAGTGCGCAAAAGCAGTTCCTGTTAATCTTGGCATCCCGACTTGTGACTGGACAACTTATTCTTTGCCTAGAGCTTTGTGGCTTAGTATTCCAACCATTCCAAGATCGACCTACACAGCGCGTCAGAGTCCTCATCAGCTCCAGAGCTGCTCGCTCCATGTCTTTGACCGAGGCCTCTGCGCCCATGGAGTATACCGTAAAGCCCCGAGAGGCGATCTCGGCATGCGCTTGCTCCATGCCTGACAGATACGCCCAAACAGCCGCTGGAAGTGCCTGAAAATGAACGCGTTTGCTCTTGCAATTGCCAATTCTTCGTGAATTGATGATTTGTAGGCCTGGACCACTAGGGAAGCCAGAAATTGCAGCAAACCTCCTTTCTTCAAAGCTTCCGCTAGTCTCAGCTTCAGTTGCTGTTACGTAACGATACCCTTCTCGGGCAAGCAAAGAAGCACAATACGACTCGACATGACTCGACCAAACAAATACCTGAAGGAGATATGCTTCTGTGGGTTCAAACAAGAACTAGCCGTGCAGCAAACTACGCGTATTCAGCTGTGGCAATCGCATCAGCCAGACTCAGATACCCTTACTCATGTATGGGTGTGTGTGTGTGTGTCTGCGTCTGTGTCGGTGTCTGTCTGTCTGTGTTTGTGCGTGCATTTGTGCACGTGTGTGTGTGTGTGTGGCGTGCGTGCGTGTGTCCAACGTGGCTAGCCGCCCCTTCCCAGAGAACTGCACGGGCGTGTGGCTCTCATCCGACCACACGCAAGTGGGAAGTGAGGCCTGATCAGCCCTGTGTACCAGCAACATGGTTTTTCTGAATGACCTTTTGGCCCTCTTTGTCCTGCGGTGTCGATAGAGGGAAGCCATCGCCGATCTTGGTGTGCTGGGACTTGGCATCTACATCGTGAACATATGCGTTGTTTTGGGAATCAAACTTTCTCATCATGTGTGTGTGTGTGTGTTTGTTTGCAGCACGATTCTTGTGCTCATGGGTGATGGGCGTGGGCGTGGGTGTGGAAGTGCGATTGCATGCATGCGTGTTCACACTTTGCGAACGTTCAAATGTTGACTTCAGCCGTGTTCGCATAACGTGGTGGAGTGTCTGCTGTCCGTGCGCTGTCTCAAGTGCCTGCATTACTCAATCACACTTACAGCGCACTTGTCTCTGTGACCAGCGCTAGGAGCATTGTCATCACACATCATCATGCAGTGGGGAACTTGCACTTTCGAAGTCATTCACAGGTGCGTGCTTCATCATGCCAAATACATGCTGCTTTCCAACAAAAGCCATTGAACAAGGTCAAGGTGAGGGCCTTTTCGGCAGAATCATCAACCGCTGAGCCTCATCCAACCCGTTTCCATCCCCTCATCTAACCTCTGCGAAAAATAGCACAATGCTGAGGTAAGCAATAAGCAAGCATTCAAGATCCTAAGCTTTCTTGTGAAATTAACACATCCAACGCAAAAAGCGATATGTGGGCAATTGCAACATCAAGCTCCTCACCTATGTCACAAGCGCGACATTCGGATGTTTCATCCACATCCGCGTGTACATGCACACATGTATCAAACACATTGCGGTACACTCGCGTAAAGTGGCCACTCGCGTATAAGTGCCTACGTCTCGGGACACAAAATGCTTTCATGCAGCTTCAACAATGCTGTGTCATTCGATTCCACTACAGAATGAGCCAGGCCCCCTCAAGGCCTGAACAACACTGAAGTCTTGCACAATAGGAAGAAGAGCCAAATTCCCACAGGCGAGTGTAGAGTACGGATGGTCACGCAATGCCACACACACACACACACGCACGCAACCACGCCTGCAATCCCGCACATTTGGCTTTGGCAGTGCGCACCTCCCTGGCAACAACAGTGCCAATGACATTGGCAACCCTGCCTCTCAAGCGCTCAGGGTGAGCCAAGGAAGATGGGTATTGTATTGTGACTCTACCCTGAAGCTCGGTTTGAGCCAAGAAGCATACAGCGTGGACATCACCTGCAAAAAAAATGAGGTCTGGACTTTATCCAGCAAATTATGGACAACTCCTGTGGCCGCCAGCGCTGGCCTGACTGTCTGCAAGCACTTCACAGCTTGGTAAGTTCTTCCAAACAACAAACTACGCCTTATCTACGTCCAACCCGGCCGCTCCAAGGCGGCGAAATTTCTGCTCGGGCGGTGGCTTCTGCTGGTTTGTCCTGCCATGCAAACGCGCAGGCCCTACAAAGCGAGCCAGCACCACGCTAGTACCCACAAGGCTGCACAAGTTGATATCTTCAAACTGCCACGCAGCGCCTTTGCCGTGACTGCCAAGCCTGTTGCCCTGATGTGTGCTGTCAACCCAAACTTTCAAGGCGTGGCCCTGGACTCGCATGCAAACTAAGGCAACCTTCATTTTGCGAACAACAAGGCGTCGATGGCCTTCGCAACAGAAAAGCCACAAAAGAGCAATCCCAGGGTCTCAACTCTCGGCTCCCGCCCGTGAGTCCTCTTGTCGCGGAGGGTTCTTGCTGCGAACCACAATAGGGGCCTGCAAGGGGCGTGTGCCTCATAAGGCACATTGGGATATAATACCCTGTGTGAATGGCTGGTGCAGGCCGGGTTTTGTCATCAACTTTTTATCACCGGACATCCCCAAATGTATAAGCTACTCCTCGTCTGCCCACCCATTAATCATCAGATTCAAGCTGGACTCTATTTTGACTCGAAGCCAGAAAGCTGCAACAGTTGCAGGCAAAGAAAACAACGTTTGTTGTATCTTTATGAAATACGTTCTTTATGCGTGTGCGTGTCACACCGTAGAGGGAAGGTGCCTCATCTTCGTGCCTGTGCTTGGCGCCATGATTCGATTGGTGACAAGACCAAACAGCAAGCTCATGCCCTACAATGCTATCCTCAGCTTCAATTTCTGCAAAGAAGCCCACGTTCCCTCAGGCTGGCTGCTAGACTGTTTAAGCAGCGGCTTAAGCCAAAGGTCGTCTAAAGCCAAAAGTCTGGTTCAGCAAGAATGGCACCCGTTATTTCATGCGCACATCTAGACTTCAGCCTCAATGCTTCACTCTTGTCCTTGACCGTGCGACTATGCCCGCTTGAAATTGCGTCTACAAAACAATGATTGGGCAAATTGCCCTGCGTCGCTTGCCGTCTGAATTGCACGTAAAACAAACAAAACAAAACAAACAACAACAAAACACGTGACGTGATTGAAATAGTTCGACACGGTTTGTTCCTCCAGGCTCTCCGGCTCTTGGAGGCTCTTCCCAAACCCTACTAGATGTTGCCTTCAAAGCCCGGACCAAACACAAGCCCTAAACTAAACGCAACAAAACGAAGGCAATAGCTGGGTAGTGGACGGATGCCAAGAGGAAGCCCTACTTCCCAACATGTAGCACGAGTCTGTTGAAGCACACGCACTGCGCGCCCGGCCGGAGCGGCAAACGGCTGCTCGGCCTGCGATGGGCTGTCAACGTGCCTTCGTGTTCCGATGGGCTACGACGGCGTAACCAAGCAACCGATGAGTCCTACGGTTGATGGAAGAAATCCATTTCGCACCCCTATGAAACCATAGTTGAAACCATGGTTCGTTGGCATCAGGGGAATAATCAGATCGGGTTTCTTAGATGATGCGAAATGGATTTCGTACGTCCACAGTGTCAGAAGTTCCTGCGGTTGCGGATGCAAGGGGGAAGCCCTGCAACGATTTTTCGCGAAGCTCTGCAAGCAATTCAGCTGGTGGATTTTCATGGGCAAACAAGGGCATCCTTTTTAGGTTGGGTTTAAGGGGAACCGCGCACTGGGCAACTGGGGAATAGAGGAGATGTTACATTTGTGAGGGCGAGCAACCAAATGCCAAACGCAGGCATGTTTGTTTGATCAGTTTGTGTCAGTCTTAAGTCTCTCTGCTCCACCGCAGATTGCTTGCTTCTCAGTTTTGTCTTCTTCGCGCTGCCGACCTTGCACCCTTTCCCGGACTAAGTTTGCGCTTTCGCGAGGCCAGGTCTTCCTTTCGCGGAAACAGATTAGAAAATCATTGTTGTATGCTCGTATAGAATATAATCATGGGCTTCTGGGCCTGCTCAGGCGGTCGAACCAAACTGATCCGCGGCCCTGCAAATCACAGTCCTACTTCTCTCAATATGTTTTTTGGCCAAGCTAAATACACATTCGGCGCATGCAGATCAACTTGCAATGCCATCTACATCTTCCAGCGGCATATCGGTATAACAATTCCTGGGATCCCATGGAAGCCCGAAGCGCCTCTCTCAAGGACTCTGCCAAGCGCCCATCCTCAACCGCCTGGTTTCGGGCACCCGCGAGAAATATTCCGCGGGAGTCTTGGAGAAATGGGTTTCGAACTCAGCACACACACACAAATACAAACCTTTCATGCCATGCTTTGGCAATGTTTCTGAACTTTGTATTGGGAAATTATATCCTCCGAATTCATGCTCTCCATTGTGTAAATAATTAACAAGAACACCCCCGTCGACCAACCAACGCTTTCGTGACTTTGGGTTCAACCAGCTTACAGAAGACCAATATACATGGCACCATCCTCAAGTGATGGCTTACGTGAACCCATATCAACATGTTGTATGCAGGGTAACAATGATGTCATCGGGTTATGTGCTATGGTTGATACAGCTGACCCCTGATGGTACCGAGGAGGACATGACACACTGTCAAGAATCAAAAACTGCTGCCCCGAAACAACACCAGACACTGGTGACAAAACACCATTTGAGTCACAATCAAAACCCGGTATTAAAATGGTCTACCCAGAACCATGTAAAGAATTAAGAAGGCGGCCGCGACTATTTCTGGCTGGGACTGCCCCTTACTCATCTGGCCGGGTTTTGATTGTGGCTCATTGGCTGATTGCTATTGAAAGTGTCCGTGCCCACAGGCCTGCGGTTTTGTGCCGAATGCCAGCCTTGTATCGAGATCGATGAGGATAAAGATTAGGATGATAATTCCTCCATATTGAAACATATTGAGTGCACACAATGCTACAGGCTATAGGATCGCTTTTTGGAGCTAGATCTTCCTAGCACTCCTTTCCTGACCAACCTGTAAAGTAACGACTATTTTCTGATTGGAAACTAAAATACCTGCCGTGCAATATCGGTTGTATTTTTCGAGCAGTCACAAAAAGAGGCCTGCCAAACACAACAAATCAAAGTTGGGCAGTCTCGGATCGCTATCGCTGACAAATCCAATAAACTCTTCCCAACATGGAAGGGGCTTGCTGGTGCTCAGCAGGGAACAACCCAGGGTGTTGCGAATGAATCTGGGGATTCCCGAACAAAGGAAACCACCAGATGGATTTCTTGCAGAGGGTCATTCCATTTCTGCTTCCCTACATCTCTCGCACCGCATCGCAAGAGGCTTGGCTTTGCGAGCGCCGCGCCTGGCCCAGGACATCTCGCACCTGTTGGCGGAGCTCCTCAGATTGCACGAACCCCGCTTGGGCTCGGAATGCGAAGATTGATGGAGGTTTCACCGCATGATTGTTGTTGTCTAATCACTTGGTCCTATGAATAAATGCAGCCTATATTAATAAATGTCATCTTTCCCAGAACCCACATTCCCCAATACTAAATTAGCAATAGCCCGCAGTCGACCAATTCTACACCAGAAAATTCCCCACCGAACCCAACCGCAGCCGTATTAGAATGCTAAACCAATACTACACCGATATTCAGCCGATGATTGAAGCAACTCCACAACAGCATACATCCGAAAAAATGATCTGGAATTCTGCGATTTAAACTCCTTGCTCGGAAATAGTACATTCAAACGATGCCTGGGGCCCAGTTAAAACGTAAATGAGGATCTTAGCAGAACCCGGGGGGCAACGAAATGTGCCCATCTTAAGACTTACCGTTCGGTCCCAGGCGCAAATATTCATTAGTTTGGGGGACTGTATTTATTGTTCAACTGATGAAGTGCCGATGCATGCGTCCCTCGCTGAATGACTTGGAGTGTGCCGTTGGATGGAGATGTGTCCTGCATGATTTTTGAACAGTTTGTTGGACCGAGGCCAATCCCCTCCTTCCAAAATCGCTGGTTTCTGGAGCCAACACGGTATATCTGTCACAAGAAGTAAGCCCATGAACGCGTTTTCTTAGCAGCAACCTTAAATGCACCTTGAGGGTGTGAGTCTAATTAACATGTTTCAGCAACCGCAACATGAGTGCAACCCTTCAGCGTACCCGCTTGCAATCGAAACGTCGCATGCAACACCCCGCGCCTCCACCTTCGGCGGATTCGGTGCCGGAGCTACAGGCTCCGCTGGGGCTGGAGGTGCGACTTCGGGCTCCTCCTGCGGCCGACAAAGGCGCAGGCATCCAAGTTGGTCTGCAACTATCCATCCTACCGCGCTGCGGCCCCCTGAAGATGGTGAAACAAAGACTGATGCTGCAGTTGGGAGCAGGCTGCTGGTGCCAAGCATTCTTACAAATCAAAAGCCGAGCGAATAAGACATAAGCTCGGATGATAATATCCCCAACGGCACATGCATCCCCGGACCCAGGCATCCATGGAGACTGAATCCTCATGGAACCCTCATGGAGCCGTCACGGCACCTTGTGGAACCCTCGCGAAACCCTCACGGAACTCTCCTCGCAATCGCCCCGTGCATCCCCGCAACCGTCGCGTAACTCTCGCCGAACCCTCGCGAAACCCTCGCAAAACCCTTGCAGAACCCTCGCGCGGAACCCTCGCAGAACCCTGCGGAACCTTACCTCAGAGCCGCCCAGGACCACCCCGGAGCCTATCTCGGCTGAGACCCCATCGCTTTCAGCATTTGGGGAATCATGGAGGTTGTGCAATACAGCATTTTGCCCCAGAATGTGCAGCACATAATGAGAGGCTCCGCAAAGCATCCAAGAAACTCCAGACATGGACGAGTGACAGCCATACTGCGATGCATTGCAGTGCGGAAGTGGCAGACTCGGCAGAGTATCCACAGCCCGAAAAACGAGCGAATCTGATTTGATTTTGAGGCGCCCGCAACTCTGTCAGACATGCTGTCGCATTTGCAATGCACTCGGCAGAACTATTATCCCTTGCTTTGTGGCTATGGCGTCGGGCTGAGTCTGGAGACCCTTCTGCAAGTGGAAGTTCTGACTTTTAAATGAGCGAACCAAATCGGCGAACTCCGTCAAGGAGCCAAACATCCTTGAGATCATGGCTACGTGAACGAAAAGGTGGGGCGATGTGTCAAATCCAGAGCGATCGCCTGATCATCCTGATGATACCAGTCCTGCTTTTGAGGTGATTATTTAGCGCCGTGCGGTTGTGGTACGGAGTGGAAAGACGTTGCAAATATCATTTTCCAAACATCTGGCATCGTTGAACCGAAACTGTGTCTGCACTGCTTGTGCGACGCTTGTGTTTGCCTTTGTCTGCCTTCGGTGGCTGTTTCCTATGGGTCCGGGCAACCAATCCGGAGGCCTTCGAAGAAGCGCTGCGTGCCACAGATACTACAGGCCAGTCAGACAAAATTTGCCCCAACCATGCCATGCATGTGACTGTTTAGGCTCTTGGAGTCTAGTCGTGTCTTGCTGACATTAGATTCACTCACTCGCGAGAGCCGGGAGTTCGTTGCAATCGACATGACATTCAACACTGAAAACAACAAACACACCACGCTATATCTCAGGCAGCGCGCGTTGTGTTGCATCCATACCTAGACCACCCAAATCGGCAGAAGTTTCTGCCTGGTAGTGATTTTTGTAAACCAGGTTCTGTGCAAAAAAACAAACAAAAGGCAGCAGGAACTCGGCGAAATTCGGCGGAATTTCGCGGAAGCAGGTTTCAGCATGACGGAGTGTTTGTTGCATTTCAGTGTTTTCTTTTTTCTGGCGGGTGGTTTTTTTTCACTTTCGGCGACATTTCTGCCGCCGGGGCCTTTCGGCAGAAAGTTCTGCCGCCGAAGGGTCCAGGTAGTAGTTGCCTTTTTGACACGCACCCTCCTGATGTTTGCCCAAGCACCTGTAGACTGGCGGATGTGGTCAGTCGACAGAAACATACTGATTGAAGTATCAAAAGCCTTCAAACTTTGAGAATGACATAGGCGCCTCCTAAAAAAAAGGCTTGTCAAAAGCAGGATCGACTAAAAGCAGGCGCCATCCGAATCTCAAGGTTACATCGAAAGGCAGAAACAGTTGACGGTGCACGGGCCCGCACGCAAAAACCGGAATGCGGGGCGGCCGCCCCGCAGCCCACGTGATCACCGTGGCCCCTTCCGAAGCCTTCTCAACGTGACACGACAACCACGTCAGCCCCGTCAGCCCTTTGTCATCACTGTCCCCTTCCGGAGGCTTTCCACATGGCACGGCCGCGGCACGGCTCCGAAGAACTATGGCGTCGCAAACCGCCACTGGCGCGCAGGTAGGAGCGTTGCCAAGGCCACAAATATTAAACCACGATATAGTCCACCACCCCGCAGGCGAGTTCTCTGCGGAAATGCAATGAAGTCTGCGCATGGCTTCGCAAAAATGTCCCATCGTTTCTCGAATCGAAAACCGGCCTGAAGCGAACAATAGTCTTCCGGTAGTGTTCCACTCGCCTTCCCGTAGTCTTCCGATAGTCTTCTCATCGTCTTCCGATAGTCTTCTTGAGAAATTTGAGAAAGGGAAACCATGCGATTGGTTCCAAGCCCCCGTCGCCCGCAGTCACAAGCGATCCGGCACACCCGAACCCCACAACGGGCGCCAATCCACTGCCTGCCTGCCCGTCTCTCACGGCACCAAGGCAGGGCTGTAAGGTTGGAAGGCAGGTGCTAAGTCAGCAGCCATTGCACCAAACCCAATTACCCAATATACCGCTGTCCTATCACAATATTCTCTCAAAGTAACATCAACCATTGGTATGCTACCATGAAAGCCCAGAACACACCATAACCACGAAGTGGCTTCCCCTGTGTCAATGCTACTTCCTGGAGGTTCCAATGCTGAGGAATTCCTAGGCGTTCTGGTTCTCGAGGTGTTTTAGGCGTTGTAGGCGTTTTTTTTGTTTTTTTTGGTGCGGGCGTTTGCTCTTTTTTTGCGGGCGTTTTGCGGCAATTGGCGGGCGTTTCCTTTTTCTAGGCGTTTGCGGTAATTTGCGGGTGTTTGCGTTCAAAACAGGGTCAATGCCGAGAATGACTAGGAATTCCTTGATGTTTGAATCTCCAGGCTGCGCGAAAGGCTTCGCGGCACACAACGTATTATCACACCTTAGCGGACCTTTTGGGAGTCCCCCCCCGAAGCTAAAATCCATCAAACAAACCACTACTCAAAATTTCAAATATCTTCCTGTCGAGCATGCCTCATGCCACCCACTGGTCAATCACGCGCGTCCTTGCGCTTGCCAAATTTGGGTGCTCCTTCCTGGCGAGTCAAATTGCAGATCGGTAACCAAGAATCGCAACAACCCACATGGGGGTTAATCAAAAGGTCCTTTAAATGGGATGACCATGGCGGAAAACCACTGAAAAGATGATATTTCCCACCAAATGGGAAACGTGACCCATGGTCATTTGGGGGCCTGGAATATGGGTCAACCCGCACATCTCAATAAGGTTTTGCAGCACAAAATCACAATGCATATGCCGCAAACTGCTAGAAAGCTCCTTGTCAGCTCCAACCAAAGAGCAAGTTCTCACAGTCCAACAGGATTCCGTGTGATGTTGCATGGCATCAGAATCGGCGACTCAGTCATTTCATTAGCCACCAACAAACTACTCCAGGGATGTCAAGCCGCGGCGGACATGAAAGAGTATCGGAGGATTAAAAGATCACAGTATCAGCTTCTTGGCTCACTGCCTGAGTTGATTGGCCAAAAAGTCCGAACTTTTTACGTACCACTAAAATGGTCTTCCCAACAAACTTAAAGTCCAGGAACTCAGGGAGTGAGTTCAACACAGCGCAACCAACCCTGATGGATTTGTCTTTTGCCGCAACTCCCATCTCACCTGCGTGACCTTGGACGGGAAGTCCTCAAAGGGCATGGCCTGTTTGCCAGGACAGCACAGCGTGGCAGGCAGCTCAAAATTGAAGCAACTCAAAGGACACAAGATGGACACCCGCTCTTGACTCCTGTGCGTATTCCTGTCACGGCTTTGCCACTATCGAGCAACAAAATTATGGGTGTCCAAAGAGATTTGCAAGCTCAAGCTTCAGAATAGAACAAATACTGCAAACGGAAACGGACCCAGGCTGCTAGGTGCAGCAAGGCGTGGTTACGTGTTCATCTGCACCGGAAAAAAGGAACGGAGCTGTTCAGTGAATACTCGTGACATTTGTCCATTTCAGGTTCGGCTAAATAAGAAACATGCAACCAGTAGATTTGGAGCATGTCCGCCACGAGTTCCAAGAATCAACATCATCTGGGCATTCTGAGGAAGGAAGCGCTGGGATTCTCACGGTTTGATGGAGAAAAACAACAATAATCGGATGAATAACCCCCCCCCCCCGCCGGAGAAGGTCCAGAAGGCATTTCTTGCTATGGGATCACTGACGAGGTCAAAAGGTCTCCTGCATCTGACGGTAGAGGCTGCGGGAGCGTCTGGCTGCATTTCAGTTTCCGTCCATCATGACACAAAACGTGTGGTACCAAACAAACTCTTGCAACCTTGGCTCGGGCCTAGAGACCATTTACCGCAAAAAGCCACATTGTGATAAGAGGTAGCAATATGTTGAGAAAGGACATGGATTTTGTGACTTGAAGACCCTGTCATCCCTTAAACTCTTTCTTACCGGTAAATGCGCAATCCCTCCAAGCCAAATACAAGCCTTCAGAGACCGGTCTTTCGACCTTTCATCGAATAGCAGAGCGGGCCAGGACCAAACAACGGGCACACGCAGTCAGCGTTCGCCACCAAGGCAGTTTCTTCGGAGCGTGAGTTGTAGATGTGGGAGGCAAACTGATTTGCAAACAGCAATCCCCATACATTTGTGCAAGTAGAATAACACAGCCTATTCTTGTTCAGACATGGAACATGTCATACACGTCACATACAGTCCTTGACATGCTACATACATGTTTTGTTTAGGCCTTCCTAACACAACAGTTTGATACAGTTGGGCTGTGCTTCATATGTAGGACCCTCCAAATGGTTGGGTTTGACGTCAAGACAAACACGGCTTCCCCGGCTTTATCTTCCTCCCCAGAAAGGCCCGTGCCTTCTTCAGCAGCGGCTCCAACATCTCTCCCTCCTGAGCCTCCTTCTTAAGAAGCTTCGTTGAGCCCGCAGCTAGGCGAAACCTCAATTGGAATCGTCACGTCTGTGGGGGTCTCAGGGGCTTCATTGAACTGTGTCCAAAACACAGCTTGGCAACCGTGATTGGAATGTAAGCTTTCAGAAACTGCAAGTTGGAACACAAAGCGACCAGCACCTGAAATTTGCCTCGTACGCAAACTGTTCTATTCCTGGTCAGCATTCGTGAGCACGTTCCCAAGCAGTTGGCAAATACCGCTGGCTTATCGATGTAGTTGCCGAACAACTGCAGTTCCCAATCCACAGGTGCATTCTGCCTGAGGAGGGACACCTTCTGCCTTTCTCAGAAGTGGCCTTGCACAGCGGCCAAAAATCTGCGAAAAAGGTAAGACCATGTATTTCCGCAAGTGCTGAGGATTTAGATCCATTCCGCTCAGAGTACACACTCACACATAGGACACTGCCTGGTGAACGGCTGTTCCGGGCCAAGCTTATACTCGCTCGCCTTCTGCATCGCTGCTTTTCATTCAGAAGTACTTTACCCGGGCATTACCCGGCACGGAGTCATCGTTCACCGCACTTTGAATCGCAGCGATTCCCATTTCAATGCTCTTCCTAGAAAAGTGTTGACTTCTCAACATGTGTAGTCTCTCTCACAGCCTCAACCTCCACACTGCATCTCGTGACATGGTTGATCATATGGACGTCAATAGAAACAAGTACAGTATGCCAGGAAGACCTCCCAGCAAAACCGTTTGCTGCTGGAAACCCACCCATCCACACAAAGAAACTGTTTCGCCTTCAAAATGACCTACTCAACAACCTTTTTTGCGAGCTTCATGCAGAATCGCATGTCCACACGTCTATATGTTTCTGGCAAATGAAATATTTACATCAGGATCAAACCGAAGCACATCAGGCTCCTTCCCTGAATTGATGCAAACACAACTTCCAGTCAAGTTATCTTCCGGAACTACGAATACACATCTATACCTTGGTGAGCCATACTTCGCAAAGAGTCTTCAATATGGAATCAGTCATCGATTCAATGATATTTAATGGCCACTAGGCGGCTCGACTTCTGCCCCAATGAGTTGCAACATACATCCATCCTAGAGACACATACCCTCACTTGCTTCTGGAAAGGCTAGTTCTGGGTAAATAAAGGGCAGCTGACCCCACAACCACCAATGGTTTGCTTCAACAGCTTGTGAACTACCTCATGAATTGGCTGTGGGTCAAAAATAGGGTAGCCCCAAATGAGCATTGTTTTTTTTAGAGGTTCAGGGCTTATACACTGCTGGGGAGGCTACGCGGGGGGCTTCGCGGGGCCAGAATTTGTGGAAGGGTTGGCTTCGCGAGGCTTCGCGGCAAGACTGTGGCTTCGCGGAGTGGCTTCGCCGGGCTTCGCGGATGTTTGTTCCACAAACATCTCTCACATTTGCGCCCCCATGTTGTTGAATCAAGTTGAGTCCATGCGAAAGGGTTCGATGAAAGGCGGCAAGAGAGGCATTGAGCTTCAGGACTAGGGGACATGGCTGGGCCTCAAAGGGGCGGAGCATGGCAGTTGGACCGCGGTGGCTTCGCGGAGGCTTCGCGGGGGCTTCGCGGGGGCTTCGCAGAGGCTTTGCGAAAACGTTCCATCGTTTCTAGCAAAACCGAGTCTGAAACGCACAGTGCTCTTCCGGTCGTCTTCCCGTAATCTTCCTGTAATCTTGTCGTAGCCTGCTGACTCTAAACATCAACCTTTGGAATACTACTGCCATGAAAGCGCACAACACACTTGCCATGAAAGCACGCAGTACGCTCAAACGACGAAGTGGCTTCGCGAAGTGGCTTCGCCTGTGTCAATGTTACCGGGCTACGCGAAGTGGCTTCGCGGGGCTTCGCGGTACACAATGTATCGCACAAGTGCCTTCGCGGAGCTTTTTGGAGTTCCCCACGAAGCTAAAATCCATCATCTGAGAAAAAAACGCTGCTCAAATGGGTTGCCCTGGTAAGTAGAAACATGAACCAAAACCTGGTCTCCTGGTGGTTTCATTTTGACCCATACCCAATTGGGCACTCACAAACATTCCAGCGCCTCAGCTAGCGCCTTTCGAGTCCCCCGACTGCTCTGCCACGAAGCTGTAGGGATCCGCGGGCTTGTCCCGGATGACGGTCTGACAAGGCGCGCCTTCTGAAGGACAAACACAACGCATTTGCCGTGCTTGACACCATACAATTGCACCTGGCAAGGGCCAACACAAGGCAGGGTCAGGGCAAATGCAGCAATCAGTATGCATTATGAGTCTTAACAAGTTCACTGATATCAGCAGTAAGATCGTACACCGCGCATTCTATATACATACATATATATATGTATGCATATTATAATATATATAATATTATGTATATGTAACACACTTCAACAGAAGCCACGATCACTAGCCATAACGCTCGCCTGGTTGTCGACTGCAGCCGACCGCTCGCTCACTTCCCGACACCGCAATGATCCCAACGTTTTCTAAGTTTCTCCAGGGGTCTGATTGCGAAGTCAACCTTGAGCAACCACCACATGTGACCTTTTGCCCATGTAAGCACCATGTTGCCCCTCGTTCATAACTCCTTACAGCTATCCGCACGGGGCAAGCGGCAAGCTCAACGCCCTTGAGGCGGCACCTGCAACAGCGCTCGCACGAAGGGGAGCAGCTCGTGCGACTCGAGATACCTAGGGAACTTGAGACACGTTTCAGATTGAAACAACGCCTACAGCAACCCCTTGCAAGTGCCCCTGTGAAGTACCATACAACCATACTTGCTTAGCGTTGTTTCAAGTCCGTAATCCGGACCCACTTCTGATTGTGTTTAGTCTGAGCAGACCTGCTGTTGAGGAGGGTGCTGGATGAATTCAGTTCATAGCATGCCATCAGTGCCACACAGAATGACTCCCTCGGGTTCAGCGTTTTAGAACTCGGCGATTGCAGGAATCGGCTGCCAGGCGGCCTGTCATAACCATCCAACTTGGTGCCATGAAATCATGCGATTTGCCCAAGACACGAAGGAGACACAGCACCAAAGAAACAACAAGGGGCTTGCGCGTCATGCTAGCCCTGTCTGAACTTAAGCAACTCAGGTAATCCAACACTCCAGGATACACACTTCAGTCCTCTAGTGACACATATCGGGTGGTCAGGGGCACATTTGAAGCCACTTCTCCCCCACAGAAGCAAGCTTCTGAGCTTTCCTTTACAAAACATGCAAAACGGACCGCCCGTTCAGTCGCCGAACGCGTGGCCGGAGGCCGAGGCGGACGCTTCAATGTATTGAAGAGTCGTCTTTTGCGTCTTGCCATTCTCGTGCAATGTCATTGATTGAACTTCATACATACCACATACAGCCACGTGATTGGCATCCATAACTTTACTATATTGGGCAGCTCCACACTTCGTTCCAGCGCAAACAGGCACTTGATCTAAGCACACCGTCCAAACTTGATCCCACCATGGCCCACTTGGCCCACTTGGCCTCGGTTTCGCCCGCCCAGTTGGTCCGAGATACTCTTTGGCCGCTGTGGCCTGGGAGGAGAAGCGCTTGCTCTCCTCCTCCTGCGCTTCGCGAAGACTTGAGGCTGGGAATTGGCCTCGGGACCCCGAACCCGGAACACGCCGCGGCTTCTGGGCTCACAAAAGAAACGCCCACAACAGTTGAGACCTCTTTAGGATATGGGACTCGGATGAGGTTTTAACAGTGGAGCGCTTGCACAAATACCTCCTTGGTGTCAAATGCGGTGGATTTCTTGGACATCATTGCGTGACATTCAACTGTGAAGCTTCACCTCCTGCTGATGTTACTTGAGATGCGAACCTGCGGGAAACCCTTAAGACCTACAGGAAACCAAAAAGAAACCCGCGGCGAAACAAAAAAATAAATAAAAAAAAAAACACCTATGGGACACCGGCGTGGGAATATGGACAACCTGCAGGAAACCCGCAATGCAGAATACCACGTCTCCATGCTAAGAGAATGGCGCTTGCTCTCTCTGGGTAGCAAACATGAACATAAGTCACGCAACGGCTCCCTCGTCAAATGATCCTGAAATGCCAAATTCCGTGAGACAAATAAACCCAGCCAAGCAGCTCTTGCTTGAGTAATCCGATGAAAGACTACATCAATAAATCTTCAGCACCAAAACCGCGTGATTCGGCAACTAAAATACATGATGTGGCGACCCCCTCTGATTCGGCAGCTACATGCAATTCGGCCACTAGAACGTATGATGCGGAGTTAGCCAATCGTGATTCGGCAACTACAAAGTCCGCTTCGGCAACGACAGGGGCGCATGTGGCAACTTTCGGCAACTGAAAGGTGTGCTTCGGCAATGAAACTGATTAATACCAATTAGGCAACTACCCACTCGGCAAGTCAAAAGCCTGTTTCGGCAAGTGAGAAGTACGATTGGGAAACTACAAGGTTGGCGTCACTATCTGCACTCTAAACTGGGATCAAAACTCTAAAACGTGTTGATCCCAAACCAAGCCAAACCCTAAACCGTCTTGACGACGAACCAAAATCTATCGCCTAAACCGAGTTGACCCTAAACAAACACCTAAGCCCAAAAAGTGCTGACCCAAAACCAAAACCTTAAATCTAACCCGTCTTGAGTCTTGACTTTAAACCAAACATAAGCGCTAAGCCGTGTTGGCCCTACACCAAAGCCTAAACCCTACCCCGT